TAAAATCATTCAAACAAATTTAATTTCAAATTGAAAACACATTTCTTTGCAAATAATTTCAATCGCACACATGGAAGAACCAAAAAGGTTGAAAAATCAAGATACTTTTTTCTTTCGTCTGCAGATTTTAGAACTGGTTGGGAACTATCGAAAAAGGGATGCAGCGGGGACATCGCAAGAAGCGCACCAGTTCAAAACTAAAGATTTTCCCCACAGGGATTGATCTCAAAAGGAAAGAACTCATTTTCTTACGTGTGATTCCTATGGGTAAACTAAATGCTCGACCCGGCACCTCTTACAAGAGAGAGAGAGGAGAGATTCATGGAGGATCTTTACTAAATATAGCAAATGCTAAAATTTGAGTATTATTCTGGTCGAATTGCAGATTTTTTTTTGTTGTTTTTTTTTACGTGGTCTAATTAATATATCCCAAACTGGAAATGGTTCCAGACCAATACAGAAATTCCGCATTTATGTTGCTCGGGGGGGTTTGGAATCGCCGCTTGAAAAAAAGTGCGATAAGCGTTTTTTAGCACCGTTAAGGGCGTCAATGCAACTGTAAACAAACGTTAGTTTCACCGAGAATCATCAGCTTTAAATCTTTAGCGGTGAATCTAAGTCGTTTACTTTTTTGCCGAAAAATGTTGCCTACTCAGTGCCCTCTACGCACAAATACTAAGGAGAGGGCAATGAGAACAGGCAACACTTTTGCGGACATACGCACAAAGAAAGAAAGATCTGCATCGCAGTGATTCTTTAATAGCCGATGTAAACATTAAAGAGATATTCACTTCCTTCGGTGCACCGCCTTTCAACTTCTTTTATAGAGCTATTTCTTCACTAGATTGATATCCACTATGTTTTTCACTATTCCGCAAAGTTTAACTACGCTAGAGGATTTTGGTTGAGAGTCCTTCCAATCTAGTCGAGTTTTTATGAGCCAGCGTCAAGTCTTCCACAAAGGACAATACAAAGTTTAGGACAAAAAGTTCAGAAAACTTGGGAATTTATTACCCGGAAGAGTATAAGCTTCAGCTAAGATATTTAATACCCCCCTCCCCCCAAGATTAGAAAAACGAATCCTAATTTTTTTTTCTGTACACAAATATTAACTTTATTTTGTTTATTTGTTTATTTTGTTTCTAAAGATTGGTTAACATCGCACTGCTTTTTTGGAAATGGCTCCTTCGCCAATAAATTCCAAAGGCTGTAAAATCGAACTTCCAAATGTTTAGTGTTGATAATATATTTAAGAAAGTTAAATAAATATACGATCCAAAAGACCCACAATGGAAGGAGTTAACGGGGTTAAAAAAGGTGCATGCAAATAAACTACTTAGTAGAAAGCTTTTTATGAATATACCCCTTCAATGCCTCTCATTGCCTCGTGAAGACAACATTGTATTCTTAATTACTAAACCATTAAGTTATAAAAACTTTATTTCAAACAAAAATTAACTGGGTAGCTGCTTACATAATTAATTAATAATTATTATTAATAATTAAGAATACAATGTTGTCTTCACGAGGCATTGAGAGGCGTTGAAGGGGAATCTTCATCAAAAGCTTTCTACTAAGTAGTCAATTATAATTGATTGGCGCTTACACATATGTTAGTGTTTGGCCGAGCTTCTCCTCCGACTTGTGGCGTGCGCCTTGATGCTGTCACACAAAGCGGAGGGACCTACGGTTTTACGCCGACTCCGAACGGCGATTGTGTTTTTATGAGAAGCTGTTTTTCTTGGCAGAAATACACTCGGAGGTTTGCCATTACCTGCCGAGGGACGACCGCTGTTAAGAAAAAACCTTTTTTCTATATTTGGGGTTTGAACCCTGGTGCTGCGGAGTGGAAGCGCGCACTGCTTACCACTACACCACAGCGGCCATAGCTGCTTACATATGCATACATATTTTTCGCTCCCACAACTAACCTGAATGTATGTAAATGAGATGCTAACCACATCCTTTCGTTCACAGCTTCCGTGTCTAGTAGTGGGAAAAATGTAAACATTGGGGCAAAAAAAGCTCTTTGCTGGCGATTAGAGATGGGAAATCAAATAACATTGTGAAAATATTTATTTTTTGTCAGAAACTGATTTATGGGTTCACAACAAAAAACTCAGCTTCTCCAACAACAACAAAGTAGGTATTGTCTAATGCCGCAACATGAACATCAGCAGAAATGTTGCAGCTTATTGATGTATGTATGTATGTATGTATGTACATAAGCCGCATAGCATGTCATTGTTGTTAACTTTCCTTTTTTCCGCGTTTTGTTTGCTCGCAATCTGTTTTTTTTTTGTTTTGATGTCGGAAGGTAATGGCTTCACAAAAAAGTCAAAAGATGTAATCAATGCCGTGGCGCTTTTTTCTAACTTAGTAAGTTGTAATTTTATGTATATTTTCCACAGAGTCCATGCCACTTAGCTATGTAACTGCGCTCTAATCGATAACTGGTCCTGCGCATGTGCGCCCCGCTGCACTTAGTTGAATAGTATCTACAATTTTATTTTTTGTATGCTTACTTCTTCCATTATTTCAAAGAGTTTTCTCTTTCCGTGAAGTCTTTCTGCTAAATGGCTAATGGTTGCACTGCTTTGGTCGGTTACGGCGGTGCACTATGGGATTCAAAACATGGCAAAAACACAGATGGCAGATCGTCTGCTGCGTGCAATGCCTCTAGTGATTTAAGACCTTGTGCACATCAAAAATTACGACATCCAGAGCATCGCATCTAGCGTGTCCAGCACGCAACTGTAGCGACGAGGTCATCGATACCCTCATTTGCCAGTGTAATTGCCAGCTGTTGACTGCCGAACAATACGCGCCGCAACAGGGCTTAATTAATGGCTAGATATACATACATAACAGCCGCCAACTGCCAATCTAAAGTCTGACACCTAACATGAATTAATGTCAGCGCAAGAGCGCTTTTACTAGTCGACCGGCATAGCAGCGGCGTTTAGTGGAGCGAGGCAAAGCGTGACAAGGGAGATTGTCACTGCTGCTGCCGCCCGGTGATCGCGCTTGAGAGCCGCTTACAAGCGAACTGTGATTTAAGGTCGATGCTCGCCATTTGGCTGTGATGATTGATTTTTATTCGATTTGATCTTTTCCATGCAGTGACATCCAACCTGACTACACACGACTCTTCCTCGGCTAGTGTGGGCTTTGCGGTTTACCGTAAAACTCGGCCACACACACACATGCATACTTATGTACATTACAGTATCAGTAAACTTTTACTCTTCGTATCGTTCGGCCAAGTATAAAGCCTTATAAAACTGTGAAAGTTTTGGTCAAACTGAATTGCTATGGCTTGAAAGTTGCGAACTCGGTGCGAAGTGCGATTTGATTGATTACAAATCTCTCGTCGGCGTGTGTGAGTACGGCGAGTAGAACACCACCTACCTATCAAATGGCGAATGAAATGCGAAGCGTCAATTCTAAAAAAAAAATCACTACATTTATCATAGTGAAAATAACACCTTTTCGAAGCGCTATTTGGTCCCATCGGCAGCGAAATAATTCAAGATAAATATGCTTTACAAAACCTGTTGAGGCACCAGCATCAATAATGGAAAATTATATGGAGCAAATGTAGAGCAATGGAAATTTGTGCACATATATCGTTACATACATGTACATTAGGCGGGGTCGATTTTGTATGGGGGAAAATAAAAAGGCATTTGACCGTATTATAATAGTAATATTATGATGTTTTAAGTCTAAGCCAATTGTTATTGGCCACGAAAGATTAATTTAAAACTTATCTTTAGCCCGCGCAATTGAATCAAAGTGTATGAATTTTGAAAATTGAATTTCCTATATTTGCAATTTTTATATTTTATGCATAAACATAAGTAAAATAATGAGTGCTTCTAGAAGTTATGCCTGCTCGGTGTTTCCATACTCATTTGTATAAACAAAATTTTTCCACGATGATGGAAAATAATGGCTTTTCTATTAGAGCTACCGAAATTGTTCTAAAATTCGGAAAAATTCGCAAACTAAAAGCTAAAAAAGTATAGAATATTTGGAAACAGTAACATAAATGCAGGTCAGCAATATTAATGCTATTCTTTACACCTTTTTTACTATAGGCCAGTGCAATTATCAAGAGAACAATTAAAATTTTATTGAAAACAGATAAGTTTGAGATTAACCACAAACTATAGGGCTGCGAGAAATGATATTTGACTTTAGCTTTTACGTTAACTAATAATATGCACCAAACCTTTTTGATGAACCCAGAATTTTTAACAGGAACACTTAGCGGTCGATGCGCGGGCTCTTACAATCAAAATAAAAGACTAGTAATTTGCAGGCTTGTTGTTGACTTCCATGATACAATATATTTTGCACTATTACCAAGGGATTTGACAAAAATTAGTTTTTCGACCCGCCCTAATGTACATCTGCACGCACATACATAAGTGATTGAGAGTGCACAAATTACTTTAGGCTTACTATTTAGTATGTATATATGTATGTTTGTAATAGTTGTATGACTCGAACAGAGCACAAATTCTAAGAGCACGTTTTGAGAAGCAAGGAGCGTTTACAATGTGCCAGCTTGCAGTGAAGTTTTAGTTGGATTCGAAGCTCGAAAACGTTTCGTTAAGAAGGCGAAAGTTCACTTCAAGCTGTTATTGTGAACGCTCCCATACTGCAGCACCTTTTAAGCGCTATTTACAATCTCGACAAAACAAAGAAAAGATTGGTTTCGCCTTAAAAAAAGAGTGTCATTATTTAACAAAATTACACCAAATGCAGGGTATTTCTGGAATCGTTCTTTATCCAACACTACATATAACCAAGCGAGTGGCCCACGTGTATCACCACTGGGTAGGACCCAGTGAGCTCAATCGGTGGTGCATAAAGGTGGTGGAGTTTCAGTTTCGGCTATCTTATATGTGCATACATACATATGTTATTATATATGTATAAACGAGTATATACATACATATAGTATCCATTTATATGTATATGCAACTTACCGCAGTCGAGCTTTTCTTGCGCAGTAAACCGTCGAGCCAAAGTTGCACCTCGAATGCCTTCAAATATAACAAGTGATAACGGTTCTGCAAGCGATCCAAGCTATCCTCAACAATCTTGGAAGAACTTTCCGCTAGCTCAGGAGAGCCAGTGGCTGACCTAGCAGATGATTTCCTCGGCGACAGGGATGACTTTTCCGCAGTTTCAATTCCGCTGCTGCTGCTGTCGCTGCTCAATTCGTCGCTGGCTTGTTCCCCTTCACCTGTTGCTGCCTTTGTCGCTGGTGGTTCCTCTTCGTTGGATGTGAGTGATGAATTGCTTTGTTCCGCTATTGTTGTGCCGCAACTGTCGAACGATTGCAGCTGTTGCTCTTCTTCTTGCTGTTGTTGCAGATACACCTGCCCCTGATGCTTTTCTGATGCAGCTCGGATGCAGGCGCTTACAACTCGCGCATGTGATACAATTTCATGGTACAACACCTGCAAAGGAAACAAAAGTTACAAAAAAATTTAGTTAAAATTCACCAAGGACTATAAAACGCATAGCGGACAATGGTTAGAAAGTGGCATCAAATAAGTACATACATGCATACAGTGGTCGAAATAATTATTGCCGCACCACATTTTGGCAACGTATTAATTTTTTTTGTTCTTTAATTTTTATTATTTTTGTTTTAAAAATATATGTAGGTAGGTAGTTCATTCTTTAATAAAACCCGTGGAAATCCAAGTCTGAAATTTTTTGCAATATGTATTAAAAAAAAATTCAACAAACTCTCGAAAAAATTCGAGGGGCAAATGTGGAAGTTTCAAATGGCTAAAAATTAAAGTTGATTTTTTTGAATTTTTTATCGAAGATATTACGGGTTTTTTATATAAAAATAAGTTGAGTTATATGGAAGCGAACGGGACAAAGAAATTCTAAAAAAAACTGCATACTCAGAATCTTTCAAGGAAATCTCAATTAAAAAAGCTAGAAATGTTTATGAAATTTTTGGATTTTTTTAATATTGCACAAACTTTGAAACTTAGATTTACATGCATTTTGTTAAAGAATGAAATATTATTTTATAACAAAATAACCAAAATTAAATAACAGAAAAAATAATACGTTAAAACTTGTCAAAATAATTACTTCGACCGCGGTATGTAAGTATGCGGGTGTGTATGACAGAATTCTTTTTATCAAAAGATAGAAGAAAAAACAAGATGACTTTACAATAAGATATCCAAGTTAATACCCACATCTACGCAAGTGTATGTGCCAACACATTTATATGTTATTACCTATGTGCACACATGCATCGTATCTAGATACATATCTACAAGTTTATGTTACTATGTTGTAAGTATGTTCATACATACATACATTTATGATACTTCAACAGCTTTTGTTTGACCATTAATCAGCTAATCTGATCTGATCGCAACAACAGACGACCGACACACAGCCCACCTCCCACCGCTATTTGTAATTCTCCTCCTTCTTTCAGGCGCCTACCTAGGCTCGCCATACATACACACATACAAACAAACACAGGCACACATGTGCATATTCAAAGATTGATTGCTTTGTTTGTTGCAGCCTCTCTTATCTCGGCATTGTGCAAGCGCAAACTGACCTCTTCAACTCTTGCATAATGATCACAGATTGTAACCCCTGCCAACCGAGGACAAACATAACAATTCATTTATATGGATACATTGTCAATGGTTGTCGGAAATAAAAATCTCAGCAAGACGATACGCGATATGCTCACATACGGCGGCGATCGGAATTGATGACTTTATGACGGCTGTGACGGTGACTATGAGACGCGACGCGGCAAGGTGTGGTGTGGAGTGTTGGCTTTTGGATAAGTGGCGGTTGAAATGCATACAGTTATGATATTGCAAAGACAAATCGAAAAAAATCTCACTATACATATATATATATATTCATCCATAAAGAAACATGTCTGGCATATTTGCAAATGTAATGTGCCCAGTTGAAGACGGGCCCTAACTAAACGCTTTTCGATTGCAACTACCGCGACCATTCGATCTGTTCTCACCCGAACGATTTTACTTTTGAAAGAGTTATTATAAGTTAAGTACATAATGTTGGAAAATTTTCACTTTATCCTCTAATTTAAAAACAAATACTACGAATGCAAAATTTCCATAGTTATTCGATACAACTAAATTAAATACAATTCAATTTTTTTTGCATAAAACGATGTGGGGAGTTGCAATGCGATGAAATGCATCATATCAATCAAAAATTGAATTTTTGATATTTGCTTGGCTAGGCTTTTTGTATTTCAGGTGAAACTATATCTTAAAAGATTCTCCTATTCTTTCGAGTCCACGACATTTACCCAAATCTTTTCGCTTACTTGACAAAGTTACATATGCATACATATGTATGTATGTATGTATGTATATTAGGGCTGTGCGATTATTCGATTACTCGAGCAAGTTGGTTAATCAATTATTCGGTTAATCAATTACTCGAATAATCAAGATTTTGATTACTCAAAACGATGATTAATCGAGTTACTTGAAATATGATTACTCAAAAAAATTAATTTTGCTCGTTAAAAGAGTTTGCTTTGGAAAATGCTTATTTCCTTTTTTACATTCTGTATATGAAAAAAATTGTTTGCTTTAATTTTTGAAAACAGAAACGTTGTTTTCAAAGTATCAAGGAACTTTAACTACTTTATACATATGTAAAGAGTTGAAATGTTGATTACTTATTTTACTCGAAATGTTGATTAATCATAAAGCAAATTACTCAAATATTTTTGTTTTTGGTTAATCAAAAATCTTGATTACTCGAGTAACTGAACTTTTGAGTAATCATAATTTCCAATTAATCGAATAATTGAGTTATTTACTTTATGATTAATTAAAATTTTGAGTAATCAATTAATCGCACAGCCCTAATGTATATACCAATGTACCATTAAAAAATATAAATAAAAATGAAGCCATCAAACAATGAACGAGAACAAGAAATCATAGCCCGAAATAGACGAGATATGCGTCATGTTTGCCAATGGCCAAAGTATGTGGAACGCCACACACAGCATCGCATCGCATCGTAACGCACGCAGCGCATCTTGTCATGGCATCGTCATCGCGCGCGCGTAGGTTTCGTTGCCAATTTTCAGCGATGAAGCACTCACTCAATGCTGCTTGCCGCATATCTAGACTACGCATACATACATACATATGTATGTACATACGTACGAATTCGCTTTCTATCCCAGCAACCAAAGAATACATATCGAGCCCTAACCGCCAAAATAACGTAAGCAACATTTTTTTCGAAATTTTATTTTTGATGCAGAAATGCATATAGCTGCTCTAGAAATATTTCTGCATCAAAAATAAAATTTTGAAAAAATTTCGCCTACGTTATTTTGGCGGTTAGGGCTCGATATGTATATCGGGTGCGCCAATAATGAGGCAGAGAATAAGCTTCTTTCAAATCAAAGTATGTATTAAAATTAAAATAAGTATACCACGTACATACATACATACATACATATATTTTACTTAATCACAAAAACTGTGCAGCGCACATTTTATACAATCTCCCATTCACAAAATTCAAGTCGTAGTTCGAACGCCATCAGCCCTATTATATGCAGCGTTGCCGCTTTGGTAATTTTTAACCAAAATTGGTAATTTTTTTACTTCTTTATCAACATTGGTAATTTGCTTTTCAATTTGGTAACTTTTTCGATTCGTTCCATCTTGTTGGAACTACAAATTAGGATGCTGTTTTGGCGTTGGCCGTTGTAAGAAGCCCCAGAAATCGTTTCTGGCGTTTCATTCTCATTCTCTTTTTCGGCCATAACACTGCACCAAACAGTGTATCTGGATGAGTGAAAGCCTCACAATCTACATTTTTGCTTGTTGACATAACCACTTAAATGGACATCAAAACATTACCTAAATAATCAATTTGTTTGGCTAATTGTGTAAAACGAATAGCGTATTGTAGTCGTTGTTGTTGGTGGTCTTGCTGTACGTATCCATTATAAGATTATATAAGAGATTAACTATAACATAAGGTGCATTCTTTTGCAATCGAGCTACAAAAGAACACTCGCTTAAATGACGAAAAAGCAAGAACGCAAACAAAACAAACTCGGCTATTTATCCGAGCTCAGCCAGGTCGGTTAAAAAATACGCGACCTGAAGGGTAGTGTTGGTAAGTGAAAAAACTGCTCTATTGTAAATTGGTAATGGGAAAGTGGATAGGGAAATTTTTGTTTCCATATATACGTGACTTATATTTGAAATAAGTACATATATTACGCGAATACCTCGCATAATTAGTAATTTAAATTGGTTTTAGTATCTAAATCCTGTTAAACTAATCACATGTTTCTTGCCGGCTAAGTAGCTAAGGAAATTTTACCCGAGTTGAGCGTTCTTTTGTCGCTCGCTTACAAAAAAATGCACCTATAAATAAAGAATTACACGTGTTTAATAACATTGGTAGGTCTTATTTGGCCCACCCTGTAGAAAGACCAGGTGACCAGGTAATCCTATTGATATATGTATGTACATATATGTACCTTTCCTTGTCAATTCGTTAATATCCCGGTGTACCCCGGCAACTAAGTATACATATTTACATATAAGTAGAGATCTATGTACATACATGTGTTCTCGTTCAAAAGCCTACGGCATTCAGTAAGGGCCTTCACATTGTCTTAAGCTTTCAGAACTGCCTTCAAGCGTTGTTGTTTTTTTTTTTTGAGGTATTTTCGACCAATTGTTGATATTGTTGTATATTAGGCGATATCTTGGCCATAACTGGACAAATGTTAATTTTCAAAAGCTCCGAAGTTTGAGGTTTATTCGCATAAATACGGTCATCTGAGTAGCCTCATATAAAAAGTCTAACGGTGCATAGTCGGTCTACCGGAAATCATGCGTCTGAAAATCCTCTGTTGTAATCGGCCTTATAGGGATGAACTATCAAACTATCGAATGTTCGAAAATGGTTTTTCAATTACGATACCTTGCTCATGCAAATCGTGAAATTTCGAGTTTTCTCATTCAATAGTTTGACATGGTAGCGACGATATATACAAATGCAAAATATTTGTTTATGTGCCATAAGTCAGTACCAATTTTTTAAAACGACGCGCAATCGACAAATTTGTTTCCTCGGTCACACTTAAGTTTGAAAACCTCACCAAGCGCCAGACATAAAAGTTATAGGTGAATGGAGCGCTGGAAGCACGAAAAGCGCTAATTGATTGAAAAACTTGGTGTGGAATTTTAACTTTATGTTATCTGATACCGACCCATTGTATTCTGATATATGCACATACACACATACATCTGTACAGTTCTGCACATAAAATAAATTTGGTAATTTTTTTTTTTTTGAATTTCGTAACTTTTTCTGGTGAGTTTGGTGGAAAAATAGGAAAAAAAATGTTGTGGCAACGCTGATTATATATAATTTA